AGTGGACTTTGGAATACTATACGTTTGCATAAACTCAGTCTCTAAGTCCAATTCTAATGCACATCTTTCATAGGTACATACTCAAGACGTTCTCTTGGCATAAGTTTGATTCGTCGAGGAAAGTTAGGATTCGTGACAAGGGTTAACCAAAACTTTGAAGACAATATATATATATAGGAAGATGATGGAAGCTGCGAGAATATAGATCTTATGGTCATGACATCACGAAAGGAGGTTGGAAACTTTCTCAATTCATCGGTTTCTACACTTCAATGATATTTAACATATTATCGAAAAGGAGAATAATGATCTTTAATTAAATTTATTCAACCGAAAAATGGATATTGTTTTAGAAAGAAGCTAATTCCCTTTGAGAAAAATCATTGCATCAATATGTTATTTCAAGATTTGAATGTTATTTTGTGGAATTCAAGATCCATCAAACTATGGTAATTGAAAGTTATTCAATTATTGAATCAAGTCATCTTTAGTTGGCTAGAGTATCATAAAGTGGCTTTGAGAGTATTTTGACCAACAGAAATCAAATCTCTTTGAACCAATTCAATGACCTGCAAAGGCCACGATCAAGTGTTTGCTACTTTAGATGAACATGTTGACAAATAAACATTTATCGATTTATCTTTGGTTTTGGAATGAATTTATCAAACTAAATTTAAATTATTATTATAATTATAAATTATAAAAATTATCATTTGGGGTGTGCATTTAAATTCAACAAACTTTTTAAGTTTAATGTTCGTTAGGTATCATTGAATATAAAGAGTTTTAGTGGAAATTTTAAAGTAAAAAATAAATTTAAACATCACAAAAGTAGATAAATAAAAAAAAGTGCTTTAAGGTTTGGGAAGTGGGTAGAATACTGCCTGATTTTATTTCACTATTGTTAGTTTTTATTGGCTGACAAGAGCTTTTCAATACGTATTCTGTTCAATTTATTTGCATGAAACAAGATATACGAAATACTCATGAAACATAGTACATATTTAATGAATTTTAAATAGACTTATTCTATATTGAAGTTGATTTCTTTTGGAGAGAGTTACAAAATAATGAAACATCTATCATTTTACATTAATTTTAATATTATTTAATTTATTCATTTCTGCTTAGGTTATTTTAATTTAAAAAAACATACTGATTCAATGGAATTCTGTTATTTAAATGATCTATAGAATTACAGTAATGTTTTAATTAAATGTGAATAATGTAATACATTTCAAAAGTATTGGTGAAAAATAATAACCCTTTCTGCTGATAAAATGAGTAAACAATGATTTTATCTAGCTTTTGATAATGATTTAAAAAATCATATTATTGAGAAATCAGCATAAAATTTTGCTTTTGAGTTGAAAGATACACTCAGAGGTGGAGTTTCTAAGTAATTAAGCCAGAATGGAAACCCTAGAATTTCTTCTTTTTTTACGTTAAAGAAACTTGCGGTTGTACGATGAATCAAAGAGAAAAGAGAAAATGAAACTATGAAAGAAAATAGGAAGAACGTCTGTTGCACTTCGCCTGTAGAATTGATTCACCAAGAATTTCTACCAAAGTGATTTCTCGTCAGAAGCGAGAATGCCAATTAAAAGTCGGTAACACTGGAAAATAATTGCTCTTTCATCCGTCATCGCTAGTGATTTTAACTGTGTAAAATAAATTTCTTTTCATCATAATATAATAATTATTATTTATCATTTTCATTTGAAACTTCAAAAATTAATTCTCGGTTTTATTGAAATATTTCAAGTATTTCACTCATCTTGATAATTAAATCATGGTTTAATAATAAGTAAATTAAATTATATACTAATTAATAAAATGTATTTGAAATATTTGTAATAAAATATTTTATTGAATTTAATGAAATGTTGTTTGAAGAATATATTTTGAGATTTGATTTAAGATTATGATATATTTAAATACAAATAACCTTTTTTTTTTTCTAATTAAAAAATGTAAATTACAACACTGTAAATTTTAGTGTTTTATTTTAAAACATTAAAAGTGTTTCAATATGATGATTAATAAAACACTTAAAAACGTTTTAAAATCAAGACAATGTTAATCAAATGGGTGACATCATTCCAAAACACTTTTAATGTTTTAAAATAAAACACTAAAATTTACAGATTAATCTGTTAACATTTTACAATGAGTAATATTTTAAGGAGGTTATCCATTCAGTCACTCCTCGTTTTTTTGATTTTTAAATGAATAGAAAAGAAAGGAAAAAAATTCTTATTAACAACAATAAAATAAATGGAGATAATCTAGTGGCTGTGCTTCAGGTGTTGAAGCAACTGGCGATTTGATCTTCATCAAACAGATCTGTCGTGAGTGCATTAGAATGAATAAAGTGACATTAGATTAATTATTACTTTCTGAGACCCCATGAATCTTGAAATTTAAACGAAACATTAGAATACTACTTGGTTCATTATACTCCAAATAATCGAGCATAATAAAAATGTATTCTTTCAATGACTTACTTTAAGTAACCATCAAAACTTTATCCATAAAAATGTTGCCATATCAACTGCAAAAAAAACCTTTTATTATGACTATTCAAAATTTTGAATTTATTAATAAAAAAAAATATTAGTTTGTTCACAGTAGATTTTTTTCTCAGCTTACTTCTTTTTTTATACTCAACTGAATACCATACATAAGAGTAAATTGAAATATATATGCATGATATTTTTTTAAAAATTTAATTATTTTATTGTTTCATATATAAAAGATATCATTTATCTGTAGCAGTTTTAATCTGTGTATTTAATATGTATGTATAGCATAATAAACTTAAGGTTTTAAAGGGTTGATATGTTAAACGATATCAGAATAACATGCGCAATAGGTGAGGTGAGAATGATGAGAATGGGTTGGTTATAGAACCAACTCAAGGGTGACTGTAAATGCAGAGGGTCGGAAAGGGGGATAAAAAATATGGTTGGAATTAAATTCCCGTAGCAGAAAAACTAACTTGGTGGTATGTGGCATCCGCGCGTGTTAGATTACGTATTGTGGCACTGCGGCATCTCGGAATTCTGAAAAGAGGTAAAAGAGGTGATGGCTAGTGCACTTCATCTTTTTCGTATGCATTGCCTTCATGTTATCTTTAGAGGTAAAAAGAAGAAAATAACATAGTAAAAATAGGATTAAAAATATAGGAAGAGAAAAGAATTCAAGTTGCTTTATGTAGTTGGATATTTTATCAACATAATTTCAAGTCAGTATATTAAAAAGGCTCATCATCATTCTTTTTAATGTCCTTTCAACAACTTCAAAGCATCAAAAGTTGAATATAATACTGACTTTGTTGATAAACATACATTCAAAAAGCTTGCATATTATTTTTAGTCATCATCAAGTCGTTCTTAGCTTATTAATAAATGTTTTATTAATAAATATTTCAATGAAAAAAAAAATAATTCAAGTAATACAAATAAAACTAACGAAATATAAAATGAGTACCAAAAACTTTCAATGCATTCTACTGTGATTTACACAAATTTCTGTGTAAATTTTCCATACAAATGAAATCATTTTTAAAAAGAATTATCTCAGGTTGCTCGTGAGAAGAGAATACTCAGTGCACCTCGTTATTTAGTGCTTCAAGAGTCATGCTCAGTCTCTTACTTTAAACATCGTAGAGTTGGAGAAAATGCATGCTTACTTGCTTCCCATTGTAACAATTATGGTTATATATTTTTTCCCTAATTAAGTTGTCATTAGCATAATATTTTTTCTTTGTTGTTATTTAACATTTGTAAATAAATGTCTCATTAAGACTAAATCTAAATAGTACTCAACACTCCATCTATATTTAATTAAATATCAAATGAATTTGATTGAAGGAACAAAAATAGAGTGAGTTGTCTCAAACGGTTCAAGTAATGTGATTTAACTCATTTCGAGAGCGTGCATAACATACTGACCAAGTTACTTGTTGTGTTTCCGGAGTCTCTTGGTTACAATTTAGATTCGGTCAGCGTCTAACCTACATACCAATGTTGTAAGCACAGACTGGTTGTGATTGTCTTCTAGGAGACCTGAGATTACTCCATTAATCCGATTTGTAGCATACTGTACAACCGCTTAAGCTTTCTGCTTCTGCCATCCAAGTGCATTAGTTTCAATCTGTATCTTCTGTAAATGTCTGATTACGTAAACTCCATTTTTATCAATTAACAATACAATTATCAACTTATTTCCCATTAGTATTAATTATTTATTTTATATTTCAACAATTACATTTTTTTTTTTTTATTACACTAGATGTCCTTCTAAGAAACAAAACAATGACAATAGAATTCAATTTTATGATAAAAATAAAACTAATGTATTTCTTTTATAAACTTTCTTGTAAAGAATTGTATTCTTTGAAACTTTAATTACTATTTGAATTATAAATTAAAATTTCCGATGGAAAAAAGTATTATTATTGAGTAAAAAAATTCAAGTTTATTTAAAGATAAATTAATTAGAGGTTGATGTATTTTATTTTTGAATTGACAAAAAATAAAGTATATCATGAAATTTAGTATTGTGAATAATAATGGCATCAAATAACTTGACTACTTTGATAAAAAGGCAAAAAACAAAAATAGAATACAAAATTTAATCAAACAAAAAGGCAGTTTTTCGTTTCTATTAAGTTTATACTTTACACCCGGATTGTTTTTATGACAGCAAATAAACGGTCTATCAACTGATTGTAAATACATTTATATTTCAATCTCATCATATCATATCGTATTTGTACTATCAAATGGAATCAGTTATTTTCTATACTGTAACATTAAAAGACCATTAAATGGTTTTATAAAGCATTTAAAACGATACATCTTGCTCAATGTTATATCAAATAGATTTCTATTTTATAAAGAGTTGAGGAAAAGTATTCTTTGTATTTTCTCTTTAGCTGTCCTCCCTCCAGATACACTTTGCTAACGCCCTTGTATGTTTGCTTTCTGTTTCAGCGTCAAGACTGATATGGGCGCCGAGGGGGCGGTATCGCGACTATACATTGCAAATGCCAACAAGAAAGACAGCGGAAACTACAGCTGTGCTTTAGCGGATGTCGCAGCAACCACAGTCTCCGTCCACGTACTTAACGGTACGTATTGAGATAATGCATCTTCGTTGTTTTACCATCGATGTACATTTAACGATCTCTTGACTTACTCCATCGTTTTATCTGTTTTTATTTTTATTTCAACTATTTTTTTTTAAACTTTTTTTTCTGCTCTGTTCGTTGTGAAAAATCAAATAATGCACTTTACAGAGACTAGTTTTTTCATTTATATTTAGTTTGTTTTTTTCCTTTTATTAAAACTAGTCTTTTGATGTGCAGTAGTTTAATAATTTTGCTTTTAACAATTTAAAAAACATGTTTTGTTGCTTAAAAAAATTTTTTTTTTATTTATAAAACTATTAAATATTCTGTCTGAATAATGTATGGAAATAATACTTCACCTTCAACAAAATTAATTGGGTTTAAAGTGTATGATCTCTCAAGTCTTTTGTTATCAACAACACAATCTTTTTTTTTGTAGATTTAGTTTTTTTATAGCATGTTGGAATAAAAAAAGATAAAATATCTTGATTTATATAAAGTAGTTAGTATTGTAGTGATAATATTTGTAGTGCTTGTGTATAAGTTTATCATGCTGTAATGAAATGAGTTGATGTTGAGAAAATAGAGGAGTTAGTAAACTTACAGACATAAAAGATGGCTTTGAAAGCAAACGGTCTTTGACCCAAGATGTGATCAATATAATTTTCCAGTCTTGTGGATGTTAGAGAAATTGATTTCCTTCAAGGTTATTCATTGAACCATCTTTAAATCTCCGGTTTGACTTTCTTTGTTGTTGCTCACATTTTAAAAATTAAACTTAATAGAAAGTCTTAAACGAATAAAGCTCATAATACTTACTGATGTAATTATACAGTAGTGTTTAGAGGTGTTATTATTTAATTTTCACCTTTTCTTTGATCGTGAAATGAATTTTATGATACATTAAGTTTATTCGTCAAAAGAAATATTAAATTTACTGAACTTTTATACAAAAAGACTTTTTATATTTAAATTGATTAATTTTTTATACGAAAATTTCTTTTTTTTTATAAAAAGGTATTCTATAAGAATTCAGTTTACATGGAATAAAGTATTTTTTTCATTTTTATTTCTTTATTTAGAATGTTATTCTTCAAATAGAGAATCTTGAAGGTATTTTTATTTGTTTATTCACTAGTAAAATGTACAAAATGTAACTAAACATATATTTCAGATATTTGAAAATTTTCAGACACTTTCAACATTCTTTTCATTCCTTATGCATTAAAAATACTACAAATCAATTTCTTTTTCTATTTTTAAACTTTACTCAAGTAACTCTTTTTTTTTCTTCTTTTTACACACATCTAATGTGTTATTTAAAGGAAAAATGACGAGAATACGTATATTGGAAAGAAGTTTGTTAAAATATTTATCATACCGTTTGGGTGTTATTTAAATCAAACTACTTTACCACTGCCATTAGTATAATTTACAAAAGTTAGATATCCTTAAAATCGTATGATTACTCTTACTTGAAAGGATCAAAAAGTGTTTTAAAACTTGAAGTTTGAAATATTGATGTGATTTTTCGTTCATTTATGTACATTTATTTGTAAAGTTATCAAGCAATATTTCGAATATTTGTAACGATATTTTTGTGACATTGTTGAAGTGTTTATATAGATTTTTGATGGTGATAAAAAATGTAAAAAAAATCATGAAACATGTTACGACACTTTAGGGAATAGAAATTGTTTTCAAATGGCCCTGAAGCTGAACAAATATTTAGCAGTACTTGTTCATTATTTTTTTTTATATCAAAATAATTTAAAAAATATATCATTATCAATACCTTATAAAATTTATATAATGAAATTAATTTTTAAGCTTTAGTTTAAAAAATTTCTTAACACTTTTATTTAATTTTATTTATTTATTTTTTTTTTTTATTTATTTTTTATTAATTAAATTAACTGATACACAATTTAATTTATTTATTGCAACGAGGGGAGAGTTTGTTTATCTCCAATTTAGGACTGAGACTAGCTAACTTTAGATGTCTTGTCTTTGATTCTGTCACTTTTAATAAACGAACTTTTTATATTAGTTGTTCTCATTCTATTATTTTACAATGTGTATAACCAAGAAAAATTTTTTCTTATATTTTTTATACCTTATTCATTCTTTTTCCTTTTAAAAACACGTGACATCACCGTTTAATATATAGGCAGCGATATATCATTCCTTCTAAATAGAAGTTGCGTTTCTCTATTACTTGTCCCTCTACTCCGTTTTTCCAAGTAGAAATGACTCGGAATAGTCAGCCGTGCCGCTAAAGCAGTTGTGAGTTTCTCTCCGTGACATTCTCGTTACTCCTCTGAAGACTTCCACATTTTGTTTCATCATTCTTTGGCTTTTATCTTCCTTATTTTTTTTTATTTTGTATCTTCCGTCAGCCTTTTGTGTTATTTATATGTCATCCTGTAAGTTTTTTTTTCAAAAATCTTCACTGATATCTTATCTACGATATCTTTTACACACGTATAATGATGAAAAGACAATGTATCTAGATCGAGAATCATTTTTTTCTCAATCATAATTACACTTCGTCACAGTTTAAATGTATCCTATAACAAGATTAAAATGAGAAAATTCATTTCAAAGCGTTTCCTTTAGTAAACTGTGAAATGTCAATATAAAGTGACAATCATGAAATTTGTTTATTAATTCTTTTATTTATACTCACCGTATTTTTTTATCGGACAAATAAATAATGAACTTCTGCAGAAAAACATAGTAAAACGTATAAACATATTTCATAGACTTGCTAATGAGAATATTAATTAAATGTGACTCAGAATAGAGAACATTACTTCATGTTATCTTTGTGCAGCTGTAAACCTCCTTAGGGTATGTCTTGCACTTCTGCTTCATTTTCTACCATCACACCATCTTCTATTTTTTTTTTTTTCTTCCATTGTCTTACTCTATAGATGGTTCATCTGGTACCATTTTGTTCTTATCACCTTTCCTACTTTTTTTTTTTTTTTATTACTAAAAAATTATCGTTATTCATGTTCTTGAACACTACTTTTACTCTATACTCAATGATAAGCTTAGAGTTGAGGAGATGTGAACTTGAACATTTTTTAAAAGTTTAACTGAATAGGCTATTCTTTTAAGTTCTCTACAATAATTTAGTATTCACAATAATGTCTTTTGATACTTAGTCTACTCAGTAAGAAGGTGATTAAGTTTTTCAATGCAACAACAAAAAATTAATACTGATTAGTTAAAAGAAAGTAGACTTGAAAATTTATTATTTATTTTTATTTAGAAAGTCTTTTAGCAAAGGAAGAACTCTAATAAGAATCACAGATATTTTAATAATTAGAACTCTACTAACTTGTTCATTTTAACAAAAGTACATTCAACTACTAGAGAAATTAAAACTACAGCTGTTTCTCAGCATAGATACACTGATTGCTAAACCTTATCTCCAAGCTTACTATTTTTGACTATTATTTTTCAAGAACTGCAGACTGAACATATGAACCCTTTTTTTAACTAAATATTTAAATATCTATTTATTTATATATATGTGGTAAAATAATGGTACACATAGGGACATTTTGAAAGGATAAGTTTATGAAAAATGACAAGAAAGATTTAATAAAAAAGAAAAATGTTTGATGTGTATTATTCTCAGTCGTGAACCAACTTAAACAAAATGGTCTACCGTTGCTAACAAAATCCATCATTTGAGAATCATTGTATGGATACAATTATTTTATAATATTTATATTTTCCAGGTGTCAGAAACGTCATTAGAGATTTAAAGTACTTAATAAAAAAAATACATTTAATGAATTCACTACAAATCTTAGTGTTTTATTTAAATACATTAAGAGTGTTTTGATATAACATCACCATTTTTAAAACGTTTTCAAGTGTTTTAAAAACGACACAATGTTAATCAAATGGGTGACCTCATATTAAAACACACTTTTAATATATTAAAATAAAACACTATGATTTGTAGTGTTTAAATAAAGATTTACATTTCTAACTTGATATTAATTAAAACAGAATACAATCTAAAGATATTTGGTTTTACAAATTTTTACAACGTAAATTATGATAATAATCAGTCATCTAAATATGTAGGTTTTTTTAATGACACTTGGTAGAAGAAAGAATCAGGTTAACTGACTACTTGATCTCATTATGAGACTAAATAAAAAAATTTCCTAAGGGCTCATTAAAATGGCTGCAAACCTTATTTTAAAATTCATTTAAAGAAAAATTAATTATAAATTTCAGAAATTTTTTTTACAATAATTTTTTCACCTCAAAAAAAGAAGAGAACTTTTAGAAATCATTAACTTTAAGATCATTACAACCTTGTTGTGGATTATAAAAATAATTCAAGTACTTCAATATAACTGTACGATCATAATTATGGAAATTCATTTCACTTAGTCTTTTTTATTATTTGAAACAGTTATAAAATAACTGAATAAACTAATAAAAAAAGTGATTTAATTTCAGAAAGCACAATAACAATACTACCTTAATAGACTAAAATTATCTTATCAAACAAACCATTATTTCTTAACACAATCATTCCAGGGGTGATTAAAAAAATAGTTAATGAATATTAGACGACAAGCTTGGCAATATAAAAGCAGAAAAGGTCTTTACTATAGGTATAGGAAGCTGAAAGCTAAGATGGCTATTTCGTGAGGTGTCACGCCTAGGCCATTAATAACGTTGGCCTCAAGTTTGTTCAACTCAGTTCGACCATTCTTTAGTCTCATCTGCCCCCTCTCAGCAGTTTTTCTTTATTTTTTTTGACACTATTCTCATTGCGTGTCTTCCACCGTTTAGTGTCTTTTATCATCCTACTATCTGTTCTCTTACTTGACTCTCTTATTTTTACTCTCACCATTTCATCCTAGTACTCGCGTACCATGAGCGTGAGGAGTTTGTAAAGCTCTTGTCATAAGGCTCAGTTAACAGAAGCGTACGACTATGTATAATATACCGAAGGAATC